TCTAGGAAATGAAGCTGCAAGATCAGGGATTCCATCATCCCTGTCTACACAGCGAGGTCCGGTTTGCTTTAGTTCTTTGAAAAAGCCTCATGCAGCCCAGGCTGGTCTGGAATTCACTATGTAGCCTGGGGTGGCCTTAAACTTCTGTCAGTCTTCCTACCTCCACCTCCCTACATACATGAGCTACCATGCTTTGCTATTTTGTCACTTTAATAACCAAACAAGACTGAAGACTTCAGTTCAATCCCTGGGACCCCCATGGTAGAAGGAAAGAACTTCTACATACATACACACACACACACACACACACACACACACACTCACACACACACACACCCCACAGAGACACACACATACACAGGCACACATACATACACACACGCACACACTTAAAAAATTTTAAAGGTTGGTGGCTGGGAGATGCTTTATTGGTAAAGTGCTTATCTGACAATCATGGGGACCAGAGTTAGAGCCCAAGAACCCACCTAAAAGCAAAAAACAAAGCAAAACAACAACAAAAAAACCCAACAAAAACAAAACTGGCATCCTGTCCCATGCTTGTAATCTCAACACCATGTAAGCAGAGCTAGGAAGATCTCTGAAGTAGCTGGCCAGCAACCTAGCCATTTCTGTGAACCCCAGTCCCAGTAAGAAACCCTGTCTCATAAAGAATAGTAAGTAGGGAGGGGAGAGGTGGCGTGGTGGGTGGTTAAGAGCACTGACAACCCTTAAGCATCTGTAATGCAGACTCTTCTGACCTTTGAGGTCACTGCATGCAACAAGAGCATGTGCACAGGCACAACACATGCAAACACACACATCAAATCAGGTCAAAAATAAAAACAAATAACAAAGTGGACAGCTCCAGATGAATGAAACTCGAGGCTGACCTTTGGCACCAAATGCATGCACACACATGTGCACACAGACCCAATACTCACATATATAACATCTCCGTGCACACAAGAAGGCCAAAGCTAGTGACAGAGCTCAGCTGCTATCAAGCTATGGGTTCAGTCCCCAGCACCTCACATCTTTGCACTCAGCAGGCAGAGACAGAAGGATGGGGAGCTGAAGGTCATCCTTGGTTATAATGTGAGCTTGAGGCCAGCTTGGGACCTCTGGAGACCCTGTCTCAAAATAAAAATAAAGCTAATAGATTATGACAAGTATTTCTTCTATGGGGATAATGTTAATTGTACACTTAGATACACACACACACACACACACACACACACACACACACACACACACACCAAGATCCCTATGTAGCCCCAGACAGTCTGGAATTCACTAATGTAGACTGCGGTGGTCTGGAACCTTCAGTGATCCTCCTGCCTCTGCCTCAAGTGCTCAGAGTACAGGCCCCTCCTCCACAGCTCTGTTCAATATTTTCAATCAGTGTATTGGGATAGTTACTGCCTGCTTCACTGCCTAGCTCTGAAAAAATCAAATCTTGGCCATAGCTCAGTGCTCACAGCCAAAACTAAAGACAGTCTGGTCCCCAGGACCGACATGGTAGAGAGAACTGATTCCTACAGGTTGCTCTGACCTCCACACATACACTGTAGCATTCATGTTCCCCTTTCCATACACAAAATAAGTGCATTCCTTCAGATCTCCAGAAAAAAGGAAGCTCTGACCCTTTCCATCTACTTTTCCATGTGAGGATCACACTTTCAGTGGTTTTAGTTGGCAGCTGAAATCCAAGTGACTCAGTCATTACCCTTAATTTCTGTCTTAAAGATAACAGGTGTTTGTTTCTCCCAAATCAGTCTAATAGATGATTTTTATGCAGATCATAAACACAGAGAGGAACGAGAGAGACAGACTATAAGTTAATTATTGGTATATTGGTTACACCAAAATATCTGTCATTACTTCTCATCTTAAAATTTCACAAATCCGAGCCGGGCGTAGATGGCGCACGCCTTTAATCCCAGCACTCGGGAGGCAGAGGCAGGCGGATCTCTGTGAGTTCGAGGCCAGTCTGGTCTACCAAGTGAGTTCCAGGACAGCCTCCAAAGCCACAGAGAAACCCTGTCTCGAAAAACCAAAAAAAAAAAAAAAAAAAAAAAAAAAAATCACAAATCCTTTCCCCAAACTCCTGGACTATTTTATTATACAATATAGAATGCAAATATAGGCCAGATATTGGCATACTTGAGACCTCTAAAGAATGAATGAATAAATGATTGTCCATGCGGGGCCATGGTGACTCGAATCTATAACGTCAGCACTTGGGAGGCTGGAACAGGAAGAATGGGGCAAATACAAGGCCAGCCTCATCTACACAGTGTGTTTCAGTACAGCCAGGATTACATCAGTGAAATCTTGTCTTAAATCCAAGAAAAGAGATTTTTAAAGTTATTTTCCTTGCTATTTACTAGTCATTCCTCTTCTCCCTCTTGAAGTCTTCCCTGGCACTCTTCTGTGCTAATAATTCTCTTTTTATAATATTTATTTAGATTCTTGGGGGAGGGTGACACGTGGAGACCAGATGATGGAACTTATCATCTAGGTGGCAGCTGAGCTATCTCATTGGTGCACTGGTCATTTTCTTACATGTCTCTTCTATAATAGTATTCCAAAGCAGGCAACCACAAGTTACTCTCCCCTGAATTCTACTGCTCTGATCCATGCAGCTGTATCTACTAGTATTTGACATGTATAAAATTTATTTTGTGTATTATATCACAGGCCCTTTAAGTTAAGGCTTACATTCCTAAGTCCCAGCATAACTAATATGCTTACTTAAAATGATTTACAACACCTGCAACATGCTCTGGTTAGCTGTCCAAAAGAGTTTTTTACATACTCGTGAGCCACGCTACTACCTTAATAGGTAGTAAAAATGACTGTTTTTTTACACTACTTTACAAGGAGAAACAAATTAAAAGTCTGAGTAACATCAAATTTTTGTCATTCAGTTCATCTTCAAGGTCTTCTTACAGTATTAAAAAACATAAGTAACACTGGCTGGAGAGATTGATTAGTGCCTAAGAATAGGTATTGTTCTTGTAGAAAACTGGAGTTCAATTCCCAGCACCCACATCAGAGGCTCCAGGGAATGGGTCTAACCCAGTGGTCCTCAATCTGTGGGTCGAAACCCTGCCATTCATAACAGTAGTATGGTTATGAAGAGGCAACAAAATTAATTTTATGGCTGGAGGTCACAACAACATGAGGGATTGTATAAAGGGTCATAGCATTAGGAAGGTCAAGAACCACTGCTCTAACCTCAAGCACACACATAGAAATAAATAATAATATTTAAATATATGTGACAAATATAGGAAACTCCTTAAATAGTACAGGTTTACAAACCTCCCTAGTGTCACAAATCCATGTTCTTTACTGATGCCAGGAAAACTAACTAGAAACCCAATTAAACTTTGCTCAACTAAACCAATTTTGTCCTGCAGAGTCCGTGACTTGGGGGAGGGGCTGCCAACACAGCAAGTATGAACTGTTTCCAACTTCCTACAGAAGTACAAAAGTCTGGGCCAGTGAGACGGCTCTGTGGTTAGAGCGCTTGTCTGAGCTCAATCTTCAGAAGCCACGAAGGAAGGTAGAACCAACCCCTAAAATCTGTTCCCTGTTTCACACAGGTACGGTGGCACCTGTGCAGCTGACATCACATGCATCACACACACAATAAAATTAATGTAAAACTCCACAAACGTACTATGACTTTCTTGCTTAGCACACATGAAAAGGAACATCTCAGCATAAAACCACAGTCTTACAAAACTTGGAACCTAGAATGCATTTTGCAAGAGTCATGTGACACACACATGACGACAAGTCAGCTAAACTGATGGCTGGACCTTTCATGGGGAAACACTTTGCGGTGACTGATCAAGCAACAAATAAATTCAGCTTTAAGGCAATACTGGTTTCTCTTATCAAAAGGAAAGAAAGAAACAAATCCCACTCCCTTAAGATTTCTGACACTAAAGAGGAATAAACACGCCATCTCTTCAAGCTACTGACTTTCATATATGAAAACCATAGGAGGACTTTAGCTGCCACTCAAGAGAGCTCAACAAAGTCTACCCAAGAAAAGAGATCACCGGTTCCTACGAAGGGTACCAGGTGTGTCACATCTGCTACAGTGACTTCTTGAGTAAGCAAGAAAAAGGAATGCATTAACTTTTCATGACACGTCATGGAACCTCATGCCCTGTCTACAGGCTTTCAACCGGGTAATCTAAAACCTACAACAGCTCTATCAAAGGTCCTACTCCTTCCTTCTCCAATTTGTGGGCAAACTCCTACTTTAAGTTGGTGGTACCAGGAAGACATTTTCAATTTTTGTTGTTTTTTTGTGGGGTTTTTTTTTTTTGCTGCTGTTGTTGCTGTTATTGTTGACCCCCTGAAGACAAAAAGGTGACTTGGATTACTTAGGTGTCCCCTGAAAACAAAAATTTCACAAACGCCAGGGATGGCAGAAGAGCTCTTCTTCAGGAGACGACGAGCCCAAGAGGACACGAGACGCTGCGAACAGCTTCTTAACCAGCTCCTCATCCACCCCACCAGCACCCCGCCCCTGGAGCCCACGCAGTCCCGAGAAGCATCCACGTTACCAGGGACCCGCCGGGGCGACAGCTCTAACGAGCTCGGGGTTTACGAGGAAGGCGCTGGTGTCCCCGCCGCCGGGGCTGACAGCTTCGCCAGGGGCCGGCGCAGGATCTGACAGCGCCCTCCCCGGCCGCCGCTCCCCCGCACCGCCCTCCCCGGCCGCCGCTGCCTTCCCGGGGACGCGCCCCTCCCGGGCCGCCCGAGGCCGATGCCCAACGCCCGGCGCACAGCTCCCCGTCGGCTCCCGGCCCCTCCCCGCCGCGGCCCTCGGCCGTCACACAATGGGGGCCCCCGGGGCCGCTCCTCCGGGCTCGCCCGGCCGACCTCCCCCCGCCGCCGCGCAGCGAGCCTCCCGGGGGACCCTCGCCCCCAGCCCGGACGGCCCGGCCTGGACAGCCCGGCTCCCCTGCACTCACTATTCGGGATTCATGCTGGACATGTCACTGCAGCTGCCGCCGCCGCCGCCGCCCTTGCTGACGCAGCCGCCGCCCCGACTCTACGCGCCACAGGGAAGAGAAGCGAAGGGATGAGCTAAGCTGTCCCGGCGGAGCAAACGGCGACCCCGGCTCCGACGCCTAAACACACAAGCAGCCGCCGCCGCCGCCGCCGCCACTCAGGGGATCGCGTCCACCCAAAATGGCCGCCGGCGAACCAGGAAACTAGGGGAAAGCCTAGGCCAAAAGGGGGCCTGTCGCGGCCCGGAGGGCGGCCGCGGCGCGCGGCACGCCGGGAAATGGAGTCCTCGGCGCCCCCGCACGCCGGCCAGCCTGACGGGGGCCGGAGGACGGCGGGCCCTCGGCTTCCCACCAGGCCCCGCGCCGCGCACGCCTGCGCACCGGCGAGCTTGTCGCCCGCCCCGCCCCGATTCCCTCAGCCCACACCCCGCCCTTCCCGCTCCCCTCCCCTTCGGGCTCACTGGCGAGGACTCCGCTCGGACTCCCCCTAGCGGATTGGCTAAGGCCGAGCGGCCCGGGGTGACGTCATCAGGGAGACGTGGCAGCCGGGCGAGTTGGCGCCCCACGGGAAGGGGCGGGGACGGAAGCCGTCGGAGGGCGGTGCCGCATCCGACGGGGGTGGGGAGCTCCCGGTGACTCCGGGACGCAGTGGGGACCGGGGGCCGTTGGGGCTGCCGGGGAGGTGGCTGGGCAGTTGCCCGGCTCGGGCGCTACCCTGGGGACGAGCCGCGCACTTCCCTCAAGACGGAAGGAAAGTCTTCCTCTGCAGACCTCGCGCCTCTTAACTCACCCGACCTCCCGTCCCTTTCTCACGTCGTTCTCAACCGCCTGACTTAGGCAGCTTGACATTGCAGCAGGCTGCAAAGGGACCCTGCTGCGGGCTCCTTTCCGTGCCCTCGCCCCACCCGTCCGCTTGCACACACAGCCGGATTTATTTCTCTGCGACTCCATCGTGACCTCCCAACCTTCAAAGGCTCCGCAGCCTAAACCAGTCTGCCCACTTGAGGCCTAGACTCAAAGGTTGAATCTTTGGGGTTTGGGTTTTTGGTTTTTCTGTTTTTTTTTTCCTGTTGTTGTTTTTGTTTGTTTTATTAGTTAGTACTTAATTCTGTATCCGTCTGCAAAACTGGGCAAGTAATAAGTGATTTTTTTTCAAGCCGTGCAATTCTTCACTGCAGACTCCAGAACTAGTATCTATACATTTTTAGACCTTATGATCTTAACTTTAATCAGCTCAGGGATTTAAATGTCGACTAACACATTATCTCCGGTTATTTATTAAAAGGGCATAGTATAATACGCTGTCCAAAGTTTATCTTCCAACTTGTTCTAAGCAAGAATTATCTCCCGAAGGCAGAATTACTTTTAAATTTCTGTGACATCAAAATAAGGGAAGGAGGATTCTCTCGTTTCTAACCAGATACGCAGTATCTCTTTACACGCACTCCCCCACCCCCCCCAGTTCCTTCATGTGCCTTGATTGACAACCACGTCAGATTATATATAGGTTTATTTGGGGTTTGGGTTTTTTTTGCTTTTATTGTCGGTTTTGGGTTTGTTTTTGTTTTTGTTTTTCTTCTATGTAGCCCTGCCTGTCCTGAAGCTCGCTCACTCTGTAGCCCTCGAACTCAGTAATCCTCTCTCCTCTGTGATAGAATCAAAGGCATGAGCTGTCCCGAGTGCCATCATACCCACCCCATAAGGGTTCTTACACATGTTAACTTCTCAAATGGACTTGGTCACCACCCAAAAATTACCCTCGATGAGAAATGAAGCCCTGGGTCCTGAAGCCAACAGTACTTTCTGCTCATTGACATTTTACAAAGTAAAATTCAGAAGTGGCCCCCTCCCCCTTCTGCCCTGTATTCCCCCCAACTCTCGCTCTCTCCCTGATGTATGTGTGTATGTGCATAGTACTGGACCATCCGTCTCCACATAAAGGCTAGAGATCAGCCTCGAACGTCTTCCCCTGGAGCTCACCCACCAGTTGGCTAGACTGGTTGGCCAGTGAGGTCCTGAATCCTTCTGTCTGCAGTGCTATGAGTTGCTATGGATGTGCATCACCTGCCTCTACACAGGACCAAGAAACCTCAGGTCCTAATGTTTATGCAACACTTTGCCCACTGAGCTGACTCCCCAGCTCGGAAACCATGCCTTTAACAAGTTTTGCTGGCTCAAACTTTAATATAGTTCATGTTTAAGTTTTTACCAATGGTTCAGATTAATAACTCAAAATAGACCAAGAATTGGGGGTTCCCTCTTGTAACCCTAGCCTGGGAAAGGCCAAGACAGGTAGATTGGTGGAAATTTGAGGATAGTCTGAGCTACATAGTAAGGTCTAATTTAAGCCACATATGAAACTGACTCAGAAACAAAATAACTCATTAAAATGCCTTGTTCTCTCTCTAGAGGGTGGAGGTATGATCAGTAACAGAGCACAGGCACATGGTGAGTGGGGCTTGGGGTTATTCTCAGCTAAAGACAACCGAAGGGCTCTTCTAGGCTGTTAGCTTTTGCTTTAAAAAAAAAAAAGAAAAAGAAAAAAAAGACATTTTTACATAGGTGTGTCTGTGTCTGCGTGTGGGTATTTGCACGTGTGCAGGAAGCTGGATGAGACCAGAAGAGGGCATTGAATGCCCTGAGCTGGAGATACAGAGGGTTGTGAGCTGCTGACAAGGATTCGAGGAGTGTAAGGCCCCCTACAAGGGCAAGGATTACTTTTAACCACGGAACTGTCTCCTTCATATGTGTTTATTTCATGTGGGAGTGAATGGGGATGGTACATGTCAGGGCACACATGAGGGCAGAGAATAAGTTTCAGGACTCGGTTATCTCACCGAGTGAGGTCTGGGATTTAACTCGGGGTGCCAGGCTTGGCAGCTGGCACCTTCACCTGCCGAGTCCCCAGCCCCTCCCCTCTTTTGTTATTTCCCTTCTTTCTTTTTTCCCTCCCTTCCTTTCCATTCTCTTTTTCAGATACATGTGACCTGGCTCTTAATAAATGTGTGTGGAATTTGTTCTGGGTCTGGGCTTTCGGGAGGGGTAGGTGTGTTTTGCTGTTTTGAGATAGAGTCTCATATAGCCCTGGCTGGGATCAAATTCACTAAGTATCTGAGGATGGCTTTGAACTCCTCTGATCCTCCTGCCTCAGTTTCCCTGTGCTGTGATTTCTAGCATATCCTACCATGCCCAGCTGCACTTGGAACTTCAGTTTAAACAATACAAAATTGAATGAAAAAATCTTTAAAATTACCATTCAGTTGGAAAGATCTAAGAATATAGACAAGGCCCACTGGGGAAAATAAAAATACATTTAAACGGTGTGACCTGTACACTGACTGTCAGAAACCAGGGATGGGAAGAAGGGATTGTCTGAAAAGAGACACAAAGGATGAGTCTCTTTGATTCAATGGAAATATCCTGAATCTTCATTGTGACAATGGCCAGTTACATGACCACACATGTTTGTTAAAACTCAGCTTATGTAACTTGGATTTGAGTCCTAACATGACCAAAAGACTCACAATCCTATGCATCCAAAAGGTAGGACCAGCAAGATGGCTCAGGGTAAAGGCACTTGCCTTGAAAGTTTGATGTCCTGAGTTTGTTGTCCCAAACCATCTAAAGCTGGGAAGAAAGATCTGGCTCCTCAGAGTTATCCTGACTTCCGTAGGTGTGCTGTGACATGTATACACACACCACCACCACCACCACCACCACCACCATCACCACAACAGCAAAACCAAGATTTAATTAAAATGGTAATTTACTTATATATAAATTATATGCTATTGTATAGCACTAATCTCAAAGCCAAATAGCAGCCATCCTGGTGAGTTCAGCTGGGCCTGTTTGCAAAGATCATCACAGCTGGACTTGTTGACTGACACTCCTTCATAGAAGGAGTGGGTGGAGAGGCTCATGGGACTGTAGCCTAAGTATCCAGACAGTTTTCAGCTACTTGCATGCAATCGCACATGACCTGGGTGATCTCAGGGAGGGCCTAAAGTGTATAATCTGGGGAAGACTAGAGTAGGGGGCTCTATCCAAATGCACACCACGGCACCCATTCCCATCACTTAAGTTATTTCTGCCATCATCCATGCCAGCTGAAGACGTCACAACGTAGCTTTGCATCTACTCCAGTCAATAACCACTCTCCCATGCTCAGTAAGTCAGTCCGGGAAACAGGATTGAACTTGTGTTTGTCATTGGGACCTTGGAGGAAGAGTGGGGGGTGGACATTGCCTAGTTTCCCCACAGGGAGAATCCCAGTGACAATCCAGGCTTTTAGAAAACGGGGAGAGGTTGAGTGAAGGCGCAGAAGAAAGCAGGTGTGCTATTTTCAGCCGGGTCACCGTTAGGAACGAGGTCCCGCGGATGAAAGGCTGACGCTGTGAACACTGACAGAAATTGAAGAGAAGCCGCTTAGCAGGGAACATGCACACCATTTGGAGGATCACCGGTCGTGGGCTCTTAGGGAGCTAAAGAGGGAGGTGTCTGGGCTTAGGTGAGATTGTGGGGATGCCCGGGGGGGGGGCGCTAGAAATGCTTAGACTAGTCAGTAGGCAGCAGCAAGCAGTGCCAAGTGGAGGAATGTGAGTTGGTGAGCTCAGCACTTAGCTGTGGGCGAGCCTGCAGGTAGGAAGGTTAGGTTAACCGTTAAAAGGTAATTAGACTCCCTAAGGTAAAGGCTTGTGGGTCCAGTCAAAGGGCAATCTCCTGGGGATAGAAAGGACAGGAGATTCCTAAGATAGACTCTGCAAGTTTGGAGGGAAGGGAGGAACCGGAGATAACAGAAGCAGCCAGAGTACCTGCCAACAGGGAAGCAAAGGCCCCAGCGAAGAAGCCGAGTAGAGAAGGAAGGCTCTGTGCTTTACCGTCTGAGCTCAGACTTAGCGCTGGCTGCTTTGGAACGCCAGGCATACTAGAAACTACCAACCTGGTTCGGCATGAAAGCAAAAACAGAAACAAAAAGCCTGGGTGCTAGAGATGGGACCCAACGGGAGAGAAAACTCTTACTAGCATGTGCAAGGCTCTGCTCAATACCACCCCCACCCTAAACAACCCTTCCCCCCAAAGTAAAAGCCTGACAAAATAGAAGTCTATCAAAGGTGAACAAACTACTTGGGTGTTGAACCAACCTGCCTGGAATCATGAGGCAGGAAATGCTTTCACGCTAACTTAGGGTCTCAGGGAAGAC